AGTACTGCCTGCTCGTGGAATAGCATTTCAACCAAGCAGAGGGTGAGGGTGCCCTAACTCTGAGTCTGGCCGAGTCACCCTTGACCTGGTCCAGCAGGGAGATCCCAGCCCCAGTGCTCTGGTCCCCACCACCTGTGCCCAGCCAGAAGCCAGACTGAGGCCTCCCGCCGTTAGTTTCATCTTTTTAAAAAAAAAAAAAACTAGAATATTCCCCCAGAGGCCTCATGGCCTAAAGACTCACAATCATCTACCTGTAATTTATGATAAATGTCTCAGAGCACTTACCATTTGCATCTATGAGTATTTATAGCCCTGGAGCCAGGGAGGGTGGAGGAGGAGGTTGGGAGCCTCACACCTGTCTCCACTATTGTCTCCTTCCGCTTGGCAGAGGCACCTCGACATTCTTCCCAAGGCTCCTCACTGCCGCTCTGACAGCTGAAGAATGCCACCTTTGAAAGCCAGTGGACAACACATCCTCCCACCAGAGGTGGAAGAGTGGGCCCCGGGGCTCAGGTTTCTGTGGACACCGTGGGAACAATGACATTGACTATTACAGTCATCCTTCTGGTCACCAAATATTCAGCCTCTCCCCTCCATGTAGCCCCCGAGGTTCAGGCCCTGGATGCTGAGACCCTCATCCTGAGCAGCGCTGGGATAGACTCTGCTTTGAGAAGGTTGGCAGGACCAGCCTGACCAAGGTCACTGAGCCCCTTCCTGGAAGGTGGTATCTGCTCACTGCCCTGGGTGCTGGGTTTGCCTCCACCGGCAGCAGCTGATGCTGCTTCTATCCCCAAGTGACCGGGTTACTCCCAGTCCCCATCTTCTTCCACTGGGGGCCTGATGGCAGGCTGTGCCTTCCCAGGTCTTCAGCTAGGGGTGAGGGACAGGGCGCTGGTCGCTGAGTGCTGAGAAGTGGCCTACATAGGCCGGGCTGACCAAGCCAGGACCACTGAGGCCACAGCTCTGAGTGAAAAGTAAGGAAGAGCACATAAATTATGGAGGTCTTCTCCTAGTGCCTAGAGGGTTTGCTTACATCCTTTTACCACCAGTTGTCCTGGAGTCAGCTCCAGTTCATGGCAACCCCATGTGTGTCTGAGTAGAACTGTGCTCCACAGGGTTTTCAGTGGCTGATTTTTCAGAAGTAGATCACCAGGCCTTTCTTCTGAGGTGTGTCTGGGTGCATTCCAACTGTCAGTCTATTGGTTAGCAGCAAACACATTGTCTGCACCACCCAGGGACCCCTACATCCTTTAGGCCTTGGGAACCTAGTACCAGGGCAGAGCTTCCTAGGCCTTTGGGTCCTGGCCTCTCACCAAGGGCCTCTCCCAGCTGCCCACTGTGGTCCAAGCTACCACTTCCCCCAGAGGGCGATTCCCCTTCTCAGTGCAGTGTGGGCTCTGAGCAATAGCTTGGAATCTCCTCTCCCGACTCTCCTCAGTGCTGAAGTCTTCTCTCTGCACCCCACCCCAGTGCCTGGAAAAGCAAGAGGGAGGAGTGAGACCTTGGGCGCAGACTCCACAGTGAGGTGTGTAGGGGTGACAGGTGGCCATGGGGCTTGGGTCACAGCCCAGGAGCTGCTCTCGCCAAACTTGGGTGTATCCTGATTTCACTAGAGAACTTGAACCTCCTCTGCCTTTGGAGTCTCTGGCTTGTAAACGGTTGGTGGGTGCTGCCCCATCCCCTTCCAGGACCTCTTGTGTGTGAGAGAGAGAGAGGATCCTGCTGGGCCTCGGGTGGGGAGGACTCTAATAAGGACTCCGTGAAGAAAGACTCGAGGGGCTTCTTCCAAAACCTCGCGGAAGCCCAAAGGGTGGTGTTGCTGTTTGGAATATGAATTAATTTGTGGGCAGGATGCAGTTTCTTCCTCTCTTTTCAGAGCAATGTAAGTAGGCAAATATACAAACTGTGTGTATTCAACAACAGCCTCCAAGTTCATGTTTGTGAGAATGCTGTGGGTTTCGTTGTGGAAATAAAGTGGTGATTGCTGGGCCTGTGTTAGAGTGTCGCTCTCTCCACAGCTACGCCTGCAGCCCCCTCTCTGGGATGAGCCCCTGGCCACCCTTGCCCGCAGTGCTCTCACGGACACTGGCTTGCCCAGTTGTCCCCCTGCCGGCCCCCAGGGCCACCTGTGGCTTTGCCTGCCTCTCGGCGGGGAGGCAAACAGCGTTCGAGCAAACACTGCCTCCTCTAACCCCTGCACGTTTCTGTGAGTGGGTCCGGTTGTAACCCCATTGGCACACGTGGACACCCAGGCACCAAGAGCTGACTTGCTCAAGGACAGACACTCAGAGAAATTTGGACCCATGGAAACCACAGCTCCGCAGCCTTTTTCTCGGAGCAGAGGCCCTTGCCGGCCTCCTGAGCACTCAGACCCTCCGTCACCACCCTGTCCTCTGCCCTTGCTTTCCACCCCTCAGGTGGCTTCTGATGCCATGTTTGGTGGGAAGAAAATTCCCTGCCACCTGGAACCCAGGCCCACCTCCCTTTTCAAGTCACCTGCTCTCAGCTCCACGCCAGCTACCATCTTTCTGCTTGCTTGCTTCTTCCACCTGACAAGCGAACAGATATTTGAATGTGGATGTCATGGCCCCTCAGCCTTGTGAGTCAGGATGACCCTGTTGATAATCTGGTTTATCTCAGGGAGTAAGTTGTGTTTCTTGCTGGGAATGGTATGAGAATTGCTTGGTCATAACCATGGCAGGGCAGAGCCACAGATTTCACTTCTCATATTTGAAATAAGGTATTAGAACAGTGATTCTTAAACTCTGTTGTGCCTAAGAATCATCTGAGAACTTGATAACATGAAACGTCCATGCCCCACCCCACCCCTAGGGGTTCTGATTCATTGGGCTGCAGTGGGCCCAGGGGTCTGCTTTCTGACAGCCCACTGACGCCTTTGAGAAAGCTAAACTAGACATCCAGGTCGAGGTTCAAGTGAGCGGCTGGAAATTTGAGCCCGGAGTTGGACGAGGTCTGGGCCGCAGATAATGAAGTTGGGAGTCGCCAGTGTTCGTGATGTTTACAACCAGGAACTGGGAAGAGACTCCAGAGACGCAGCCCCAGGCTAAGCCCAGGGCAGCCAGCAGTTAGGGTCTGGGGAGGTGAGAGGACAGCCGACGCGGCTGAGGGGCAAGGTCAGCCATGGCAAGTGCACTGACAGCCCCAGGAAGATGAAGACTGAGGGTTCTGGTGGACTGCCCACTGGTGTTCTGGAACTAACCACCTGAGGCTGGTTGTGAACACGTGTGAGCGCCTGGGACCACCACTCTCC